ATTATTGTTTTCCCTAAGTTTTTCCTACTTGTTTTCTCCTATTACAAGAGAGATTAATTGTTGTTATCTCCTTGTATTTAGAGAGTGTTATTGTAATTCTCCTGCTGTAGTGAAATCCTCCTATACTTGCCCGTGGACGTAGCCTAAATTGGGTGAACCACGTAAATACTTGTGTCCAATTTTTAGCCGCATTTTCTCAATTCCAATATCATTGCAAGCCAAACTTGACCCACGTTTTCCTAACAAGTGGTATCAGAGCGAGGTTTTGTGTAGGGTCGTTGTTCACCATTTACACACAAGTTACTATTTTCAGTTATAGTATTGGTGAACAAAATTGCGGCAAAGTATGAGATTGAAAAGTTCAATAAGAACTATTTTTCATTGTGTAAAATGAGAATAAAATCAGTTTAGACTTTTGAGAAAAGATAATTGATTGGCGGCAATTGGATAGAGGCTCGCGGATATCACTGACGATGGCAAGTGGAATGAGATGGATGGCAATGCTATTGCTAATCTGCACTTAGCACTAGCCGATGGAGTATTGTCAAGGGTGGCGGAGAAGAAGACGACTAAAGATATGGTATACACTAACAAAGCTGTACGAGGCCAAATCATTACACAACAAAATCTTCTTGAAGAGAAGACTTTACAACACTCTTCGAATGGTAGAGTCAACTACAGTAGCTGACCACATTAACACCCTTAATACTTTATTCTCACTGCTCACATCAATGGGACATAATATATAGGTGGGTGAACATACTAAGATCTTACTTCAAAGTCTACCAGATTCGAATGATCAATTCATCATCAACTTAACCAACAACCTTGAAAGTCTAGTCTTTGATAATGTTGCAGCTACAGTTCTTGAAGAAGATAGTCGACGTAAGAACAAGAAGGACAAATTGACAAGTTCACATCATGTGAAAGCTTTGACGATAATAAGAGAGAGATCAGAAGAACGTGGATCCAGTGGGAGTCATAATTAGAGTAGATCAAAATCCAAGAGTAAGAAGAATGCCAAGTGTCATTACTGTTGCAAAAAAAGGACACTTAAAAAGGGATTGCAAGAGTCTCAAGAAGAATGAAAAAGCTAAAGGAAAAGGTCCTTAGAGATCAAAAGCTCAGGGTTGTGTAGCAAGCACTTTAGATGATGTCAAAATTTGATACAGCGAGGTAACAACCGTTGTTGAAGGCAGAAAGAAGTATTCTAATATCTAGCTTATGGATTTAGGAGCTACATGGCACATGACACCAAGAAGGGAATGGTTCCATCATTATGAACCTATCTCAAGAAGATCTATGTTTATAGGGAATAATCATGCCTTAGAGATCGTTGGTATTGGTACCATCAAATTGAAAATGTATAATGGTACAGTTCGTACTATACAGAAAGTATGGCATGTAAAAGACTTAAAAAATAAAATTATTGTCTTTAGTACAATTAGATAGCACTAGCTACAAAGCCATTTACAAGAAGGGGTTATGAAAATCATCAAAGGCGCGCTTGTGGTGATGAAAGAGGAAAACATAGCTGTAAATTTGTACGTATTTAAAGGAAAGACACTACAACAAGGGGAAGTATCTATCACATTGACAAGTTTAATAGAAGAATTAACAATGATGTGGCATCTCAAGCTTGGCCACATGTCGAAACGTGGTTTGAAAATTCTCTCAGAACAAAAGCTTCTACCAGGGCTCAAAAAGGTTTCATTACACTTTTGTGAGCATTGTGTTACTANACTCAAAAATGTTTCATTACCCTTTTATGAGCATTGTGTTACTAGTAAGTAGCACAGATTGAAGTTCAGCAATTTCATTACTAGAAGTAAAGCTATCTTGGAGCTAGTCCATTCCGATGTTTGACAACTACCGATTTTGTCCCTAGGAGGTGCAAACTACTTTGTATCTTTCATTGATGATTACTCCAAGAGATGTTGGATATATCCAATCAAGAGGAAGGTAGACATGTTCGCAGTCTTCAAAATATTCAAATTACAGGTGGATCTTGAATCTAAAAATAAGACTAAGTGTTTGAGGCTAACAATGGAGGAGAATATACCGGTGATGAATTTGATATCTTTTGTCAACAAAAAGGTATGAAAAGACAGTTTACGACGGCATACACTCCACAGCAAAATGGGGTGGCCGAGTGGATGAATAGAACATTGCTAGAAAGAACAAGAGCAATGTCGAGAACTGTAGGGCTAGCCAAGTCATTCTGGGTAGAAGTAGTAAAAATCGACTGTTTTGTGATTAATTGGTCACCATCAACCGCAATTGATCTAAAAAAGCCAATGAAAATGTGGACCGGTAAACCAACCGATTATTCTCTTACATGTATTTGTAAGTCCTATGAACGTTATGTACAACTCCCAAGAAACATTAAAGCTAAATTAAAAATCCAAAAAATGTATTTTCTTAAAGTATGATGTGGAGTCAATGGGTACCGCCTATGGAATCCCACTGCCCGCAAGGTTATAATCACAAAGATGTGATATTTACAGAAGAAAATGTACAAGAGAAAGAAAATGATAACACTTCAAGAGAATTCAGAGACTACTACAGTCGAAATTGGAAATGAACGAGAAGTTATAGATTCTTCTTTGAAGAACAAGCTGAATCTAGTGCTTCAGAAGTTTGATGACTAATTCGGGAGAGGAGAGAACTAGCTGGCACTCAGAGTACATTATGGAGGGCAATGTTGCATAATGTTTACTGACAAAAGATGGAGAGCCATCAACTTTTCATGAGACTATAAATAGCCAAGAAGTTTCTCTGTGGACGGAAGCAATGCAAGAATAAATTAAAACTCTTCATAAGAACAAGACGTGAGATCTTGTTCCACTACCACAAAGAAGGAAGGCCATTGGGAATAAGTTGGTCTACAAGATCAAAGGACATGGCAATGACCAAGTGGAGCGATATTGTGCGAAATTGGTAGTGAAGGGATATGCTTAAAAAGAAGACATTGACTTCAACAAAATATTTTCTCCTGTAGTTCGACTCACAACAATTCAAGCAGTCTTAGCGATGCGTACTACATTCGACTTACACCTGGAGCAATTAGATATGAAAACTACATTTCTTCATGGAGAACTTGAAGAAGAGATTTATATGCTCCAACCAGAAGATATTGAAGAAAAAGGAAAAGAGAACTTGGTTTGCAGGTTGAACAAATCTCTATATGGTCTCAAACAGGCGCCGAGATAAGAAGGTTTTGAAGAAAAAGAAAACCAGAACTTAATTTGCAGGTTGAACAAATCTCTATACAGTCTCAAATAAGCACCAAGATATTAGTATAAGAGATTTGATTCCTTCATGATCAGTATGCTTACTACATGAGATTTGGAGATAGTGATTTCATTATTCTGATGTTGTATGTTGATGACATGTTGGTAGCAGGCCCCAACAAAGATTGTACTAAAGATTTAAAGGTGCAGTTTGCTAAAGAGTTTAAAATGAATAACTTGGAACCAGCAAACAAGATTATAGGGATGCAAATTTATCAAGACAGAAATAATATGAAGATTTGGCTTATTCAGAAGAACGAAGTCAGAAGAACTATTTGAAGACAATCTTGCGTCATTGTAAGCCAATTTCTACAACAACGAAGTAAAGAGGTTGGAAATGTCTCGATTACCGTACGCGTCAACAGTGGGTAGCTTAATATTTGCTATGATCTGTACAAGACCAGACATTGCACATACAGTGGGAGCGGTTAGTCGATACATGGCAAATCCTAGTAAAGAGCATTGGAGTACTGTAAAGAGATTATCCTCACGTATGAGTCCTAGCAGCGAAGCAGAGAGGATGGAAATGTCCCGAGTACCGTATGCATCAGCAGTGGGTAGCTTAATGTTCGCTATGGGTTGTACAAGACCAGACATTGCACAAGCAGTGAGAGCGATTAGTCGATACACGGTAAATTTTAGAAAAAGAGCATTGGAATGCTGTAAAAAGGATCTTGAGATATGTCAAGAGTACCTTAAATTCTACATTACGCTATGGAGGATCAGATTTTGTTGTCAATGGCTATGTTGATTCAGATTATGAAGGTGATTTTGACAAAAACAAATCCACCACAGGTTATGTGTTTACTCTTTTGTGGCTATTTCTACGACAGAGGCAGAATATGTGGCAATTACACAAGCTAGCAAAGAGGTCATTTGGTTGCAAATGTTAATGGAGAAGTTCGAACACAAACAAAAGAAGATTGTTCTATTTCATGATAGTCAGAATGTTTTGCACTTAACAAAGAATCCAATATTTCATCAGAAGACAAAGCACATTTGAGTTATATCACTTTGTTCGAGAAAATGTATTGTGGCTACATCTACAACAGAGGCAGAATACGTGGCAACTTCACAAGCTAGCAAAGAGGCAATCTGGTTGCAAATGTTAATGGAGGAGCTCGGACACAAACAAGAGAAGATTGCTCTATTTTGTGATAGTCAGAGCGCTTTGCATCTAGCAAAGAATCCAGCATTTCATTCGAGAACAAAGCACATTCGAGTTCAATATCACTTTGTTCGAGAAAAGGTGGAAGAAGGAAGTGTGGATATACAGAAGATCCATACAGAGGACAACTTAGCAGATATGTTAACAAAGCAAATCAGTACTGACATGGTGTCGATCCTCCATCGGCCTAGTGGAAACACGAGTAGCATGGTAATGGCAAGTATAGGAAGGATAGAAATTATACAACACCGGTGATTTTAAGTGTGAGAAATGATAGATAAAGTTACTTTTGCAGCCAATTTCTTTGACCACAAGTAACTCATTTAATGAAGCTTCATGCAAAAGGTTATGATGGGAAATCATTTCTCAGTCACTATTACCATTTATTGAGGAAGCATGCAAGGTTGGTAAAAGTTAGAAGGTATCAATTTTTGTGTGCTATTCACATTGGAATTTCTACACTTCAATTAATGTAAGCGGAGAGAACTAGCCTATAAATATGAGATGATTGCTGCGAAGAAATGTATCCCGTTCTCGAGTGAAATTTCATTCTTAAAGAATGTGGAGTCTTTGAGTGATATTATTAGTAGAGAGAAAAATAGTAGAGAGAGATAAAATTATAAAGAGAGAAATATTGTTTTATCCTGAGTGTTTTCCTACTTAGTTTCTCCAGTTACAAGAGAAATTAATTGTTCTTATTTCCTTATATTTAGATAGTGTTATTGTGATTCTCCTCTATAGTGAAATTCTCATATACTTGTCCGTGGACGTAGCCTAAATTGGGTGAATCACTTAAATATTTGTGTCCATTTTTAGCTACATTTTCTCAATTTGATTTTCGTTCAAAGCCAAACTTGACCCACATTTTACTAACAAAATAGGTCGCTTTTCCTGCTTGAATTGGAATCCAATTGTTTTAAATATGCACGATTTATTACCTAATTCGAGTTTCACGTAATGACAATTGGAGAACATTTGATTTAGTTATGTTTGTTAGTATTTACTCTTAAGAGTCCTTGAGTTTTGGTTTAAAATTCAACATAAATTTGGAACCACATCTAATGTCATGAAGACAAACTATGTGGTTCCAAATTTAAGTTCATTTTCTTAGTATGAATTGTTGTTTAATAGCTTTTTCATTAAAAAAAAGTGTTATTCTTCATTTGAATCTGAAATATTCAACGTATAACTTGCAGATTGATAATCCTTGAGTTACTTTACAGTATATTGGGTCTTTTTGGATACAAATATTTATTCATATTGAAAGAACACACAAAAACTACACCCACACTGCACCAATGATGCACACACAAAAACAGAGAAGATAAAGATATGAATACTAGAAATGAAACAAAGAATAATTTATGAACTATTTACCTTTTTATCTTTATTTTTCCTTGTGGCATTAAAATCTTCCTTCCTTCTCTTGCTAATTTCTTTCTTCTGCAGTTAATCGTGTAAAATAATTAGACTGTAAACCTTATTGCCTCCATCGATAAACAGGGCATCAAACTGGAAATGCAAATGATAAAACCCCATATACCAGCCTCGCAAATGAGCTTAGCTCGACCATGCAAAAATTAAATAATGCGGCTTTCGGCAGACGAATAACGCAAATATGGTTGAATACAGATTGAGTAAATCAAGAAAATTTAGCATAACAGTGATGAGAAAACTCACAGTCATCCATCGACAACGTAATGCCACATCACGGACTGTCTTATTTTTCAGCTGCACTGCAATCTTTGCATAGCGGATAATGTTCGACTCAGCAGCATATCTGCAGTGCGTTACGCAGTTGCAGTATCAGAAGGGTGATATGCTAGTCATGCATAAAACGAAACACAAGCATTATATAGAATGAAAGATAGCAAAGTGGTTATCAATGTTAAGTGATTACTAGTAAAGCATATTAGAATCATGCTGATACGAATACTCCAAATGGATTGTGAGTTTGATGAGGTCATTTACAAAGAATTTGATCGACTAAATGTGACAATTTAGGTGGAATAATGGGATATTATAGTTCATTTCTCATGAAAATTGAACGTCATATCTCATTATTCCACTTAAATTGTCACGTCACCATTGTTTGATTATTATAATTATAAATAACATTACCTTAAATAATTACTAAACAATTAAGAACGTGTAAAGCCAAAATTTTATCTTCTGAGTTTCATTTCCACCATAATTCGAAACATCTCTTCCCCTAACTCAACCCAACTCAACTCAACTCAACCCAACCCAACCCAATCTTTCCACTTTTCTTGGAAGGAAAACCCCAAAATGGGGAAAGGGGACAAAAAACTCGCAGGCAAGTTGAATTAGCCCGCATTTGAGCCTCATTTTTAAAAACTTACTTTTCCAAATTCATTTTCAACAATATACTGTCCTAATAAAATAATTTTAAAATCATGCATTCTAAAAAAAATCACTATTGCAAAATCTATTTTTTTTCAAAAAAGGTCCCAAGCAAACCCTTAATATACGAACTAGTACATGCATTTCTTCATGTAAACATAATTGAATGACTTAACTTTAATGAGTTAATCCATATTGCAAGAAGATGAGAATACTCACTTCAATATAGACTATTACAGAACAAAGACCATTTAAAAGTAGTAAAAATCACTATAACCAAGAAAGCGACACAGAATTCCACGAGAAGAAACAACAAATGCACAAACCAATCAGAGAAAAGGGCTCGTGACTAGGAAGACGACAGAAACTTTAAGGTGCAAAAAAGCAAACTTAAATAAAGGGAAAAATTTTGAACTAATCACATGATTTCAAAAAAAAAGGGAAGATTGCGCGTCAATTTAAATTAGACAAGAATCAAGAAAGCCAAAGAGAATCGACCTGTGAAAAAACTAAAAGTAAATCAAACTAATTGATAGTTAAAAGCGCTGTACCATCAAGAATTCACAAAACCAACAAGATTCTAACAACCCAAAAGTAATATTTATAGAAAATAGAGAAAATTCACACACACACACATGCATATATGAAATTCGCTCACTTGGCAAGTCCTTCTTCCAGAATAGCTTGATCTTCTGGTGTCCAGTCCATAGAGATTGTCTGTTGGTGCTGAAACGTGGGGATGGCACCCTCCAATCCATGCACAGAATTTCCGTTGTATGAAGTTGAACCCTGGCTCTGTTGAGACCCATTTTTTTGTGTTCCAATCATGTTAGCCATTAAACACGCACATGCACTAACAAATATTAAAAAAAAAAAAAAAATTATATTGGGAAGTGAGCCTGCAAATTTAGGAGCTGAAGAAAGGGAAAAAAAATACAAGAAAATTGAGTCCCTTTGAGGAGAAACCGAGGTTTAAGTGATTGGGATGAGAGTTAAAACTCAAAGATTCTTTAAGCTGAAATTGAGGGATTGAAGATGGGAAAGTAAGGGGAATCTCAAATGCACATAGGAAGCCTTTCTTTCCCACCGACACATGTAGTACAAATGTAAGCAAACTTTTGGTGTGCCAATATATATTCTCTGCAGGTATCAAAGAAACTTTAAGCTATTCCCTTTAAATCATGATCGTTAAGACGTCATACCACTCAAATTACAACACTTCAAATGTCGTATCAATCTCTCTTACTCACCCGGTGTTTGAGGAGTTGTACTTTGAGTGGTTCGAACACGTGGTAGAATAGCGTATTTAAACACTAGACTGGTCAATTCACCAACTCTTTCTTACCCACTTGGTATTCGAGGTGTTTTGTCTTTTAAACGGTTAAGAGTTCCAACGATTGTAATTTGATTGAATAATCTTACCATGTGTGTATATAGCATTTTTTAAAAATGAGCGAATTTATTGCATGGGATTTTATATTTTTCTTTCCAATTGGAAACTGACATTGAAAAGACTGTTTAGTTATTTTGGGTTTTGGGAGGAAAGGGAAAGATTTTCTTTGGTAAAGAGGAAGTGGAAGCTGACGCATTGACAGCATCTCTCGCTCTTCTCCTTTTGTAAAGAAAATTTGAAGCTTCTTTTTTTGTTTGTCTTGCCTATTTTATTTATTGGATGGGAGAAAGGTTTTTTCACTTTAAAGTATGCTAAAATGACCTTTAAATTTTTTGTGGTAGATCTGAATATAAATTTGATTTCCATTCTTAATGTTGAGAAAGTTCAATTGAGTGGAATCCATTTTTTTGGGGACGATGCTACACTTACAAAATATTTTACAGGAAAGAAAGGGTGGCTGTGTACATATACAAATGTAAGCAAACTTTTGGTGTGCCAATATATATTCTCTGCAGGTATCAAAGAAACTTTAAGCTATTCCCTTTAAATCATGATCATTAAGACGTCATACCACTCAAATTACAACACTTCAAATGTCGTATCAATCTCTATTACTCACCCGGTGTTTGAGGAGTTGTACTTTGAGTGGTTCGAACACGTGGTAGAATAGCGTATTTAAACACTAGACAGGTCAATTCACCAACTCTTTCTTACCCACTTGGTATTCGAGGTGTTTTGTCTTTTAAACGGTTAAGAGTTCCAACGATTGTAATTTGATTGAATAATCTTACCATGTGTGTATGTAGCATTTTTTAAAAACGCGCGAATTTATTGCATGGGATTTTATATTTTTCTTTCCAATTGGAAACTGACATTGAAAAGACTGTTTAGTTATTTTGGGTTTTGGGAGGAAAGGGAAAGATTTTCTTTGGTAAAGAGGAGGTGGAAGCTGACGCATTGACAGCATCTCTCGCTCCTCTCCTTTTGTAAAGAAAATTTGAAGCTTCTTTTTTTGTTTGTCTTGCCTATTTTATTTATTGGATGGGAGAAAGGTTTTTTCACTTTAAAGTATGCTGCAATGACCTTTAAATTTTTTGTGGTAGATCTGAATATAAATTTGTTTTCCATTCTTAATGTTGATAACATTCAATTGAGTGGAATCCATTTTTTGGACTCCGTTGACTCGAGAATTTAATCAACACAAGTAAAGTGAAATCTAATAAAAAAAAATTGCAAGACGGCATAGAAGAGAGTTTGACCGTGAAAAGGGAATGGGTTGGTCCATACTGCTAAGGATCCGTTTGATTGAAAAAGTGAAAAATTTGTGAAAAGAAAATGAATTTCAGATAATTAAATTTTCTAGAAATTGTTTTATTAAAAATTATAATTAATTGTGTTTGATTGGTATAAATTTTCACTGAAAAATGTTCAAATTTTGGTGTCTGCTGTAGAAAAACCTTTTAGACACAATGGTAAGTTAAAAACATTTGATTGGAGGGTATAATTTTTATACAAAGGTAAAGAAGAATGTCTAGTCAATTACTATGGCCAGAATTTGGGTACTGTGAATATATATAAATGAGTTGGGAGTCTTTCGAAGGTTTGATAATTGTTCTTTCCAAGATTTGTAGATATGTATACTTCTTGAATAAAGGGTCTGTTTGTTTTTTATTCTCAAATTCTACGGTAAATCAATTCTCATTTTCAACCACACATTCTTCAATAAAATAATATTTTCCATCACATCAATAATTTTTTCTTCTTTTTCAACCACACATTTCCCATCATATTACTATTCAAAAATCAATTATTCCCTCAAAAATTCCTACCAAACATGGACAAAGTAAGTCGTCATATTCTAGGATATTTCAACATATGCTTACTTGTTTGGTCGATTCGAGCAATCTTGATTGTCCAAAGTTTAAGAAAGTATTTAATTTTGAGCTCTTTTATCGATTAAAGTGATTCGCTTGATTACTTAACATGCAAATCCACTGAAAACTTACAAAGGTCATAAGTTGGATAAATTATTCAATTTTCCTTCTTTAAATTTTATTGCCCTATTTTATACGTTAGTGACCACTATTTGCAAAGATGGTTGTGTTTAAATTCATTAGTGAAAATGGGTTAGCATTAAGACATAGAAAAATATATTTATCTCACAAGAAATTAATGTTTTTGCTTTTGAACATTTTTAATGACTTATTTGAAATATGAGTACTTACAAAACGTGTTTGGTATGCACAATACACTACATCGACAAGATACAACTAGGACTGTCCGTGGGACGGTTCGGTACAGTTCGATTCTAAAGAGACCCGAACCGACCCAAAACTTTCGGGTATTTAATAAATGGCCTCGTCAGGTCCAAATATAATTATGAAACCGTTCGAGTTCAGTTCCGTTCAGTTCGATTCGGATCGATTCCGTTCCGTTCGATTCTGTGCCATAATTAAATTTTTTTAATATTTACAACAACACTACATAAATACAATTAATGGCATTTCATTCGTAACTTTTACAAATTAACGTAACCCAATTCAAAAACATATGAATAACTAGCCGTCCAATAAAATTAATTCAATGCATACAAATACCAAAAAATAGATATTAATATTACAGCAACACTACATAAAGTATATTCATTTGTTTCAAATTAAAATGGGCTNATATTTTAATTATTTCATTATATAAAATTATTTAGTTTCGATTCTTATTCGGTTCTTCGATTTTTAGTCTAGTCCAGTTATCCGACCCAAATCCATCGGTTCTCGATTCGGATACCCGTTCGGATATTTAATTTATGAAAAACCGCTCGGTTCGGGTTCGGTTCGGTCCGAGACTTTTAGACACCCCAAGATACAACCCTTCTTTCTCTTGAATATTGTCTAGTTACGCGCACATACATCTATAATCACCTATACAACCTCAACAACACCGTAATCACCTATACAACTTCAACAAAACCGACAACCATATCCCAACATGAAGATAATTGTGTTTAGTAATTTAATTTACAAATGTTCATCGAACCGTAAAGAAGGATCAGTAGGGAGCAAATGGTATTTTCGTCCCCGAATACAATCAAGAGTACAAGCTGATCAAAGCATGATGCTAATTCAACATAAACATGCAAATATTGTTATATTTATTTTGTTCAATTCTACTATAAACAATGTACAAGTTTGGTATATAGTACTTGAATATAACAAATGAGATTTTAGCCTGTGCTACCCATTTCTTCCAACCAAGTAATTCCCATTATACAAGCCAGAATAATCCCACCACTAGGATACGCCAATCAAGGGCAAGAGCAATGAGGAAAGAAGGATATGAAGTTGCTAATATCACCATCTGGATAAAAGCACTCATCATAAAATGCAAAAATATAATTATCTAATACGACTGAATTCGTTATATTGAAAATCCCATTTGTAAAATATTTTATTGCTATATTATAACTTCTAATATTGTCAAAATTGTCGGTACATAAATAACTCTCCAAATACATGAATCGATAAAACTTCTGTACTATCCTAACATGTATGTGGTGTTCTTGTGCAGATTGTACAAGGTAAAGCAAACATACCACTTTGCAGTCCTGGGGAAGAAAAGGGAAAAAGCATTAATCGCATAAATTTGTAAAGCTCCACAATTAACTAAAGCTGAAGGGTCACTATAAAAAATGGCACGAGAAACATAATATGGTAGTCTGTTGCGAAAGTATTACAAGAAACAACAAAATATATGCCCAAATTAAGCTTCAAATCATCGTTCGAAACTAGTGAAACGAAGTAGCATAACACAACAAGCCAACGATCATTAAAACCCTTCATTTATTGTTCAGATGAAGATCTGGCCAGTTTCTATGCCTAATATATTCCATTCTTGAAGGTGATTTTATTTCAAAATAACGAAAAAATGGCAAGGAAGAAATGAACTAGTATTTGACACCTTGCACACTGAGTGCATATTCAATTATGATTTCATACTTTCTATGGCTCAAATCAAACCCCCAATCCTCAATTAGAACCAAAGAAAGCTACGAAATTTGATAAAGAAAATGTCATGAAAATCATTTTGATATCTAATAAATGGATAAAATTGATATTTTAATATCATGAAACAAATGTTCTCAAGACGATCTTGGACCTACAGATTCATTTTACCAATTCTCTAGCACATCCACACCTACAGCTTGTCACACTTGTATTGCAGATTTGTGACGTAGATTAAGACAACCATACGATCCAGTCTACTAAGACTAGTCCATATCACTGTTTCTAACAAATGAAACTCCATGTCAAACTACCGTGTTTTCAATGTCTGCAACTAAATTAACGCCATTTCTCATCAGAGATGAAGAAAATACAAGTTGAAGTGGACCAATAACCAACATGAAAATTTTCTGAAATATAAGGATGACGAACTAGCA